ATCTACCTCATCTTCCCCTTGTAATGGAAATAATAAGTCTAATCGTGTTCGTAATTTTCTTCCCATAAATAATTCCGCTGGGGATTTATTTGTTGTCGCATGAGGCGCAATACGGTAATGTAGTAACATTTTACAAAGATTCTCTTCTACGTTAGTTGCATTTGCATTCATGCGTCGTAAAGCATTCTTTAAGGTTTGAACAAAACGTTCTGCTTGGCCATTAGTGGCTATTATAAGGCGCTGTGTATTTAAAATTTACGCCGTTCTGCTGTAAGAATGTTTTGAACTCAAGAGACGTAAATGTTCTACCATTATCTGTTACAAAAATTTGTGGGATACCGTACTTTGTAAAAATGTCTCTACATTCATTAATAATTGTTTTCGCAAGTAAATTTTTTACTATCTTTACTTCTGGCCATTTCGAATAAGCATCGACTACTATAAAAAAATATTTCCCTAAGAAAGGACCCGCAAAATCCGCGTGTACTCGATGCATCGGTGCAGCTGATGGTTCCCACAAGTGTTGCTCCACTTTCGGTGGATTATTTCTAACCGTATTACAGGATTGACAATTTTCAACCAATGTTTTAATATCATGATCAATTCCTGACCACCAGCAATACCCTCTTGCAATTCCTTTCATTTTATTTATACCGAAATGACCAGTGTATAATTCATCTAATACTCTAGTGCGCAACGCTTTTGGTATTACCACTCGGTCACCTCGAAAAATTATTCCGCTTTGTAAAGTAAATTCTGTTTGTTCCAAATTAAATCTATCAGTGCTATGTGCCAGAGAACCTGATTGTAACGCGTGTAAAAGTTTCTGTAATTCCGTATCTTTCTTTGTATATAACGCCATGCTTTTAGCATCTACCGGCAATGTGTCGTGTAATTGAATCCCTGTAAGAAAATCGCGTAGTGCTGCATTCTCATAGCACTGTAAACCGGTAAGCTTTTCTGTGGTGAAAAAATATGTACTAAAGGCCGATGATCCGTGATCAATATAAATTTATTCCCGTAAAGATATTGATAAAATTTTTTAACCCCGAAAATTATACTGTATGCTTCCTTATCAATTTGTGCGTACTTTTGTTGCGTTTTCGATAACGTCTGAGACGCAAATTGAATCACCCTTTCCGTCCCGTCAGGATATAGGTGTGAAAGTACTGCCCCTACCCCGTAAGGACTAGCATCTGTTGCGAGGACAATCGGTACTTTTTGATCGAAATGAGCCAAAACTTGGTTACTCATAAATGCTTCTTTTGCCTTTTTGAAAGCTTTTTCTTGCTCATCTCCCCATATAAAATGTGTACCTTTATGTAATATTTTATTTAATGGTTGTAAGATAGAACTTAAATTCCTAATGAATCTACTATAATAATTTATCATACCGATAAAGGCGCGGACATCGGGAATGTTTTGGGGACGTGGCATTTTATTTATAGCCTCCATTTTTTCGCGTTGCTTATATATTCCGTTTGCCTTTAAAACGTAACCGCAGTATTGAACTTCATGTGTAAAGAAAACTGATTTGTCTAAATTTATTCGTACGTTGTGCTGATGTAATCTCTCTAACACTAGTTGTAATCTTTGCAAATGCTCGCAATCTGAATGCACTGTAATTACTATATCATCTATAAATATTGCCACCCCCGGAATATCTTGTAGTATTTGTTCCAGTGTTCTCTGCCATATTGCCGGAGCAGACGCGATTCCGTACATTAATCTATTGACTGCGTATAGTCCCTTATGAGTATTTAAAGTAAGCAATTTCCTATCCTCCGGGCGTAATTCTAGTTGTAAATATGCTTGACGTAAATCAATTTTTGTGAATTTTGTACCGCCTGCTAGTTTAGCTAAAAGTTCATTTATAGTAGGTAGCGGGTGTTCGTCGATTATTAATTTTGAATTTATCGTGGACTTGTAATCTCCACAAACTCGAATCGTACCGTTTGCTTTTAGGACTGGAACAATGGGTGTAGCCCATTCTGAATTTCCTACTTTTGTAAGAATTCCCGCTTGAACTAAATCATCCAATTCTTTCTCTAATAATGGAATTAACCTGAATGGAACTGATCGCGCTTGTAACGAGGACGGCCGGGGAGGCGCGGCCGGTAAAGTGAGACCGCGCTACCAGCTGCGGCAGAAAATCGATAACGCGCGGTTGCCGCGTCGACGGCGACGGCAACACCGCGCCTGCCCCCGCCGCCTCTCCCCGCGCGCCACCGTCCGGGGGGTATAAAAGCCCCTCCGGAGCAGGCGCTTTCACTCAGTCGACGCTTGGTGCTCCGACCGTCGACACCGGGCAGTGGGTACCTCCGCTGCAGGTATAAGCAGGAGTTGAATGGGTGCTCCTGTCTCCGGCTATATACCGAACCGGAGCACACAGCGGAGGCTCTACTCCGTTGTGGGCCCCGTCCCTCAGTAGCGTACGCCTAACGGGGTGCTCCTCGGCGTACATATGCTACAAATTTCCCCGTACCGGTCTCCTGTACCCGTCCTGGCTCCGTTCCCCCCGATATAACGGGTACCGCCGTGTTTCGCGGGGACGGAGTAATTCCGCAGTAGCGTACACCTAACGGGGTGCTCCTCGGTGTACAATTACTACTGACCCACACGCATCACGAGGCGCCGCTCGGGCGTGTTCCTGTCCTGACCTGCTTCCTTTTCCTGATTCCTGACCGGTGTAGAACTCAGGGGGGTAATATTCGGGTGGGAAGAATATTTCTCATTAGATCTAATAGTAAGCTCCGTAGTGTTAATCCCGTTGCTATTTCTTCCCTTGCAGACCAAAGGATTCCGTACGGTCATCCGTCCTGATTTTTCTAGCGTCGCCAGTGTAAATCCAGATACCAGTACTTATTATTTTCCGTATTCCGAGTAATTCCGTACTTCCCGTACCTTATTGTAAATCCGGGTAGTTGTACTTATTATTTTCCGTATTCCGAGTAATTCCGTACTTCCCGTACCTTATTGTAAATCCGGGTAGTTGTACTTATTATTTTCCGTATTCCGAGTAATTCCGTAC